CTGATGCAGATTGGGGGGGATGCCCGGATACGAGACGTTCAACGTCTGGTTATTGTGTATTTTTGGGGGATAATTTGATCTCTTGGTCGTCTAAGCGCCAACCCACGTTGTCTAAATCTAGTGCAGAGGTCGAATATCGTGGGGTGGCAAATGTTGTCTCCGAATCATGCTGGATTCGAAATCTTCTCTTGGAGTTACATTGTCCGATTAAAAAGGCTACCCTCGTTTATTGTGACAATGTTAGTGCTATTTATTTGTCAGGAAATCCAGTTCAGCATCAACGTACGAAACACATCGAGTTGGATATTCATTTTGTACGCGAGAAGGTTGCACGGGGGGAAGTTCGGGTTCTACATGTGCCTTCTCGACATCAGATTGCGGATATCTTTACTAAGGGTCTTCCGCGAGTCTTGTTTGAGGATTTTCGTGACAGTCTTAGCGTCCGTGGTCCTCCCGCTTCGACTGTGGGGGTGTGTTAAGATATATATGTAAATATATTCTGTTACTGTATTTTAGCTAAGCATATATTTAGATTGATATGATTGTAATTAGTTCCTAAATAGGTGCCTTGTATTATGGCTAGCATTATGCGGCTACATTGTATATATTGGGAAGTCAGTGAATGAAATCCCTTGAGGAAAATATTCCATAAACTCTTTCATATATATATATATATATATATATATATATATATATATATATATATATATATATATATACATGAGTTTATTAGATATTAAAGTTTGAAACTTTAATTTATTTTTATTCAAAAAAAGTGACACATATTGTGTTTATCTGTTGTTCCGTCCCCAACATGGAGGAGGTGAGCTGGAAGAGGATGTGATTGATGGTGTTCATGGAATCCCAGAAATCATGGTCGTGTCTCCAAACTTTCCATGGTTTAAAGGAAAAGTGGGTGATGTGTGTCCAGTGGCGGCGCCAACAGTGGGTTATAAGACGGAGGTGGCAGCGGCGGAATTGATTGGAAGAAGAGATAGTATGGTGATTAGAAGAGAATCAGGCAACGAGCTTGATCTGTCATTGATAATGTCGCTGTTCATCTTGATTTTGGTGCACCGAGTTAGTGCTTCAATCTAATTCTTTTATTCAAATCATATGAACAGAATACAAGGATAAAAAATAATGTTAATTTTTTCAAAGAAAAGATAAAAATGGTTTTAGTGTTTTTTTTTTCGATTAAACTATTTAACTTACAAAAAAATCCATATAAATCTTTAAGTGATTTTTTTTAAGTTAAATCTTTTAGCAATTAAAATAATAATTCTTTTCCATCAAATAAATTTGAGATAGTAAAAGTATAATAAACCAAGGGTGCAACGGAAGAGTAAATATGGAGTACTAACCCTAACCCAAAGCTAGCGTTCTTTAGACTCGGATTACAGAAATAAGACCAAATAATATCCTAATCTTCAACTCTGAATTTAACTAAATACTGTAAAATCACAACAGTTTCTTATATGCACTACATCCCAGAATCCAGAGCAAACAAGGAAGGTGTGCGCTTATCAATATATACTTTGTATAATGTAAACTCTTTATGTACAACCCCAAAAACCCGATCTGTTCATGTGATACGATACGATAGTATCTACACACAAGCATTTACGCGGAAAATCATAATTAAGTGCGTGCATTGTAAAGACGATAATATGCACTTGAAAGGTATAGAGGAAAAGGGATCAAACTAACCTATTAGGCTATTATACTGGGCAATTTCAAGAAAATTATAAAAATTATTCACAAAATTGTTTTAATGATGCAAAGAAGACTTGATAAAAGCTACATATGAAATTAGGAAAAATGATCACAAGGGACTAAGGCCCGATTCAGTTCACCTTAAAAAAAAAATATTCAGTAAAAATAATTTCAGTTCAGTAAAAATAATTTAATTTCAGCAAAAATAATTTTAATTCAATAAAATTAATTTCAGTTCAACAAGGGCCTAAATTAGAACATTTTTTTTTTTTTGAAGAAACCAGATCATATAAATATACACAAATAAGACAATAAATTAGTCAATATAATGTTTGCAGAATGAACTTAGATTACACAAAAGTGTCATAAAAAAGTTGACAATTTCATATCAAAGTACAAATTGAAGCAAACCATTCTTCAAATCAGAACTTGAAGCAATGATCATCCTGCCGGAGAGCTCAATCCGACAGCTCGATGAAGTTTTTGTACTTTAGTTACAGTAGCGTATGAAGCTTGTCCAAAACAGTAGCATTACTTAAATTGTGTTGTACTCCGTAGCAATTTGATCTTTGATCTCAATTGTCGTCGTGATCCATCAGATCATATTATATGATTATAGCCTTTAAAGTTGCCTAAGCAATGACCTGGTAATTGGTCCTTCATAAGGCCGAGTGTCATTGTAAAAGCTAAGATCCATTAAATTACGAAAGATTGGCACGTCGATCCCATCCAAACCATTAAGATAACTCAGCATATCAGCACCATAAGTAATAAAAACAAGGGACCTAACACAAGAAATCCCTTGAAGTAGCCCAAGAATTAGACTATAATACTCGTAATCCATATCAAAATCATCATCCTTTTCATCATCACTTGGCTCCTCAACTGAAATCAGCACCATTTGCAAATCAATTGGAGTCCTAACAAATTCATAAAACGCTAAGTACCCATGAATCTCACAGTGCTCCAGCTTCGCGGCATCAATAGCAAATCGACAAACTTTGGATCCCCAATCATTCATTCCTATAAACAAATTCTTCAAATTAGACGCAGATATAGCAAAACAATGAACATCTACAGTCAAATTCATACACAACTTCAAATCTTCCAACAACGGCAAAGACTTTATAAGGGTATCAATCAAATAACAATATGAATCACATACAAATAACGAGAGCTTCTTCAAATTAGGCAGATTAATAAAAGTAGTAGGAGCCTTAAACTCGATATAGCCAGGCAAATTCAAGTCTAATTCTATAAGTGACCGAGTTTCAAACACACAAGTAGGTATGTGAAACAAAAGAGATGAATAAAATCCATGAGAATGATGAAATCCTACATTAATTACTTCAGGCTTACGGCGACAAATTTGATGAAGCCAAGGAACAAAGCAAGATAATATCTGCGTTGATTTAGTTGATTGACGGAGAGAAAATTGAAGGTTAAAAGTATGGATTTTAGGGGACGTGAGTTCGGAGAGGATGTGATCAACTGATGTTATGAAAGTACGGAAATCATGAAAGGTGGTTTCGAGGGAGAAGTGGGTAACGTGAGTCCAAAGGTATCGCCAACGACGGGATAAGACGGAGGTAGAGGCAGCGGTATCGATAGAGAGGAAAGAGAGTATGATGATGAGGAGACTATCTGGGAGGTCGCTTATTCTGTCTTCTTCCATGAATTTGATGGATCAAAACCCTAAATTGAAGATTAAAAGGGATTGAATTAAAATTTGATTTAATTATTGGGGAAAGATGATTAATTATGGTGTGGTGTAGTTACAGATAATTTAATTGGATGAAAGAGGAATAGAGAGGAAGGAAAGCAATGGTGAATCGATGAATGGACAATGAAGGGAGAATATGAGAGATGGTACGGTCAGGAATTTGATTTCCAGTCGAAATTGGGGCGGTAATTTTTTTTTTTTTTTTTAATTTTTTATTGGAATTATATTAACTGATAAAGTGTTTGATCCAATTAATTGTATGTGGGAAGGGGTGTTAGCCATGTTTGGTGATTAGGGGAAAAAAAAAATTGATTTTCAGTTGACGCTAAAGGTTATAAAGTGTGACGAAAAAATCATCACATTATTATCCATGCTCTTAAATTAACTATTGGGGAGCCGGTGAAAATTTATCTACTATTGGAATTATACATTGTGCATTTTTTTTTCAGTCGGAATTGAGGAAAATTGATCTATTACCCAATAAATTATCAATTATGTACAATTACCCAATATTATCAAGCAGTAATGCACTTGCTTAAAAAAAATTAAAAATAAATTAATAAATAAAATCAAGCAGTAATGCACAATAATACACTTATGTTAGTTGGATCAACCAAAAATTTAAAAGTTACAGACCATGTAATCATGTATATATATATATATATATATATATATATATATATGTATGTATATATATATATATATGTATATATATATATATATATGTATATATATATATATATATATATATATATATATATATATATATATATATATAGGATTAGGATCATGTAAAAACAAGTCTTAGGGTGAAAACATGAAAACAATTAATCCCAGCCGTAGATTATAATCTAGCGGATGATATTTAATGTATATATATCCTAACTTTTCTCTCTCCTCCCGCGAAAACACTTTCTCTTTCCTCTGTTATTTTCTTCCTCCTCTTCCTTCTCTCTTCACTTTCTCTCTCCTAATTTCTCGACATTAGCGAACTCCTTCAGCAACACCGCTTCAATTACCATCAGCGAACTCCTTCAGCAACACCGCTTTAATTACTTTGATTTTTAGCAATTTCTCAGCTCTACGATCTATTATCAGGTGAGTTCTTTGTGGTAATTTCGCTATTTTTGCACGATTTGAGGTTATTAGGTTTCTGAAATTTTGTTTGCTGGAATTTCATGAGTACTTTTTTGTAGATTCAACCGAAAATTTAATGTCTATTATGTTTTTCGTGTATGATTTTTGTTTAATTTTGTAATTTTGCAAGTTTTTTTATTTTATTTTTTCGATTTGATTTTATTTTTTGAATTTCAACTTAAGTTTCGTTTTAGTAGAAGTATTTTTTAAATGTATTTTGTTTAATTTTTCTTAATTTAAGTAAACTAGGTTTTTATGTGTATTTTTGCTCGAAATTCTGCTTTTGTTGTTCTTCTTCATCTTCTTAGTAACACGATTTTTGTTGAGCATAAATTTGTTTTTGTTGATTTCGAGTTTAGCTGATTTTTGTGGATTTTGATTTCGAATTAATGCCTGTTAGGAATGCGAATAGCTAAAATGCGAATTGTGTGTGTGTGTTTGTGTTTGGAGTAGTTAATTTGAATTTTGAGTAATTTGAAGTGTTTTTAGTGGATTTGTGAGTGAATTCGGGAGAGTTTGGAGTAGTTAATTCGAATTTTGAGTAATTTGAAGTGTTTTTAGTGGATTTGTGAGTGAATTCGGGAGAGTTTGGAGTAGTTAATTCGAATTTTGAGTAATTTGAAATGTTTTTAGTGGATTTGTGAGTGAATTAGTGAGAGTTTGGAGTAGTTAATTCGAATTTTGAGTAATTTGAAGTGTTTTTAGTGGATTTGTGAGTGAATTAGTGAGAGTTTGGAGACATAAATTAGCTACACTGGTTCCTGCTTCCACTTGGTGTCCAACTCGATTTGTATTTTCCCGTGTTCCGTTTGGTGTAGGCAACAGGAATGGTCATCAATCTCTTGCTAATGATGATCTGGAATTGAGACCTGACCAACATGGTGACATGTTTGGAGATGGACTAACTGCCTTGGTTGCATTGGTGTTCCTTGATGCTGTTGTGTTTCTCTCTTACAACCTGTATTTTCTTATTTGTGATTTGAAGTGGTTTCAGCTGCATCAAATGTCATTAGGTTCCTACATGAATTATTTGCCTTTTGCACTTAGATAAATTTTCTGGTGTTTGTGATATTGATGCAAAGACTCTTTCCACATCAACCGTAGAAAGAAAGAAAGAAAGAAAGAACATAAAGTATGAAGAATGCTTCCTGGTTTAAGATACTGACTTTGATTCTATATGTCCGATTTTTGGTGTTGAGTAGATTGCTTAAGCGACTAACCCAGGAGCTACAGACATCTGGGGTGGATTTGTGATAGATTGCTTCTGATCATGCTAAATCGACATCTACATGACTTTCTTGACTGTTGAAAAGTGTACTTCTAGTCTGACATATGTGCATGGTTAATTTGACTCTGTACTGGATTTTGCTTCAAAATTTCTGAATTAGGCCTGTTTTGAACTTGAATCAAGGTAGCCAGAATTCGAGGATTTGGATACCTTAGTTTGATCTGATTTTCACTGCCCTGACCTGACCTGAATTGATTTTTTTATTCGTAAACAAATTGGTTGTCAAAAGACATAAATATGAATATGACCTGAACTTGTTCTAAACCAAACCAAAATAAACTGAATCTTTTTGGAGGGGTGTTGGACTATGTTATTTTTGAAGTTTTGTTTTAAAAAAAGGTCACTATGCCATAAAAAGAGGCAACTACTTTGGTTTCTTTTGTTTATCTTTTCGTATGTCTTGTTACAGGGTGCAACAAGGATTTTCATTCGATTTGGATTAGATTTTATTCCTATGGTGAGAACTAGAGGTGGTGCTACTTTTAAAAAAAGGAGAGGCCTTCGTAGCTCAACAGGAGGAGTTAAATTGAAAGATACAGGAGGTATGATGAATGTTTGATTTTTGGATTATTAACCTTAATATACTAGTTGCTCTATTATGATAGTCTCCTAATACTATAGAATGTAGGTCCCTATATTAATATAAAAGTTACTATATTATTAGTTCCCTATGTAACTGAAAAAGGTCACTATATCAATGACAATGATTATTATTTTTAAGTTATTAGTTTGCTATATTATAATTGTTTGCTAGATGAAAATGAAGATAATTGTATATATAACTATATGCTTGCGTGTTTTTAGCATGTATCAATCTCGATCATGAAGATGAAGAGCATATTGATGGTGGAAGCAAAATGATCGATGATGATACTAACAGAGATAAAGATGCTTGTATTGAAAAAGGATTGAAAAAGAAAGCTATCACTAAGAAAAAGAAACCTTCTAACATTGAGAATGCTATACCTTTGTCAACTGTGATGAAAGGAAAGAAGGGGAATGAGTCTTCTTCTTCACATGCTATTGTTTTGCCAGCTAAGAAGAGAAAGTTGGATGAAAATGAAGGTCTTAAAGTGAAGAAAGTGAAGGCAAATAATGATAAGAACATTGTGATTCATAGGCAAGAATCTGCAATCATAGATAGTGATGTACATATGTAAGTGAATATTTGTTTCTTTTTTTTGAAGTTTTGTTTAAAAAAAAGGTCACTATGCTATAAAAAGAGGCTACTATTTTGGTTTCTTTTGTTTATCTTTTCGTATGTCTTGTTACAGGGTGCAACGAGGATTTAAAACACGTTGCAGGCCATTTCATTTAGTAGAGATGATTAAAACTTTTTCAGATGATCAAATCAAGGCTGTTAAAGAAATTGGCTTTGGAGGTTTGTTATCTTTGAAGGTGAAACGAACTGCAACTGATATGCTATCATGGTTGGTAGATTGTTTTGATCATGGTAGCTGCATGTTTACTATTGATGGTAAAAAAGATTTTGTTGTGACTGAATTTGATGTGTATGATGTTTTTTGCCTTCCTTGCAAAACATCTAAGAAAGTTGAAGAAATTTCTCGTTGTGCTAATGTCATCAACCCTGATTATGATTTAAAGGTTAAATGGAGGTCTCATTTTGGTCTTATGGGTGAGAATGATCAGATTCCTTTGGGTTTTTTGGAATCTAAGATCCCTTTACTAGTAGATGGCGGGGAAGAATTCAGACAGCTTTTTATCATGCATGCTTTTTCAAGTTTTTTAGCACCTACGTCCAACAGAACTGTGGATTTGAGAATTGTAAAATGTTTGGTTGATGTTAATCAAATAAGAATTTATAATTGGTCAAAATATGTCTTAGATAGACTTTGTGAAGCCGTGAAGAGCTACAAAGAAGGAAATATAGAATGGTTTTGTGGTTGTGTTTTGATGTTAGAGATTATCTATTTTCATCGATTGAGGTTTAGGAATGTTGTGTTAAATTCTACAATACCTTTAATTCAACATTGGACTGATGTGGATATAAGAGATAGAATTAGAAATGAAAAGTTGTCCAAGGGTTTTGGGTGTGGAATTCTTGAGTTTGATACATATCCAGTGAGTGAGAAGTTGCAATTTGAGGATGGACAAGTTGTTTGTAATCAATTCAAGGAAGCTCCTGTGAATCAAACTTCTGGAAAAGAATCTGTTGTTTATGAAGGTGTCCGTAGCAATGTTAAGGGTGTTATTCAGTTTGAGCTACCTGCCAGTTCAATGTCTAATGAGGAAATCCGTTCAATTGCTATTGATGTAAGTATTTTACCCTTTAATTCTGTCTGTCTGTTTGGTTTTTTCTTTTCTTTTTTTTTTTTTTTTTTTTGTCACAAATTATTTTATTAAATCTAAGTGCTACATTTTTTTTTCACAGGAAGTTTATGAGAAGTTTTTGCTCATGAAAAGAGATTTAGAAGTGGTATCTAACTTCTACATGAATGAGTTGAAAGTGTTATTTCAGACTCGTAAATCTAATGATGCTTCAACTTCGACACCTCCAATGTCCCAAACTGATTTATTCTTTATGAATCCTCGTGTTCATGAAATTGTTGATGAGATTGTGTCTCTTGTAAATTGGGTAAGCAAAGTGCCTAATGGTTTGGATGATGATGATATTGATGATAATGGTGCACCTGCAAAAGAGATTAATGTTGTAGTTGGTGAGGTTCCAAGGATAGGTTTTGAGCATGTTTTGAGTAATGGAAAATCTAAATGCTCCCTTGCTATGGATGTTAGTCTCTTTGGTGATAAAGTTACATATGTAACTGAATATATGAAGTCAAGTAATAAGGATATGAAGGTTTTGGATGCAGTTGTCCAGGAACTTGTTGACTACTGCATTAGTGATTATCATGGTTTCGATCTCAAGTAAGTCATGTCATTGTTCTTTTTGTTATTTATTTTCAAATTTTAATAATAAGTGACTATGTTAATATACATGTGTCTTTTTATTTCCTTGTACAGTGAGGTGTTGGTATCTTTTGGCAAACCATTTGAGATTACAAGGAATGAATTCCTTTCATTAGGTGCACCGGCTATTGCTATATCTTCTGTTATTATTGATTGTTGGGCTATGTTGCTTAATGAAAACCAGAAGAGTAGTGCACATGGACCTCAAAAACTATATTTTGGTGTTTCTCAAAGTGTAAGTATCTTTCGGCTATTTAGTTACTACATCATTATAATGGTAGTTGTTCATTATAAAAAATTCATAAATTAATTTCACTATGTATTGAAAACAGTCACTATGATTCATAAATTAATTTCACTATGCAATGAAAACAGTCACTATGTAATGCAAGTAATTACATTTAAGAAAAATAACTCTACCTTCTAATTTTTTTAATATTTATTAATGTTTGTTCTTTTTTAGGCTTTTTTACTGAAAGTTGCAAACACAGATAGTAACACACAAGACATTGACAAGCTATTTGACATTTGGTCAAGATGGTTGTTCATTCCTTGCAATGATTTTGATATTGCAAATGTTGAGTTGGTAATACATTGCAAATGTTGACAATCATTTTTCAACTAAGTACTTTTATATTAAGTTTTTCAAGCTTAATAGTTGTTTATTTATTTATTGCAGATATTTGTTCCTATACTCTTGAATGAGCACTTTTTCCTAATTGTTGTGAATTTGAAGGAAGAAAAGCTTCAGTTCATTGATAATATGAGTTATGATACAAAGTACATGAGTGAGGTTGAGAAGTTCTCTGATGTTCTGGTAAAAATATGATATTTTGGATTTTATTTGTATTTTTCTAGTTAGGATATGCTTCATGGAACCTAAAGTATTAATTTATTTTGCCTAGAGTGATATGCTGAGTACTTTTCTTGATCAACGCCTTCCTCAAAGTAATGACTCAGTGAAGAACATGATTGAGTATACTTTGGAGTCACCTTCTGTAAATTGGAAGTCTGGAAAACAGAAGAATAATGATAGTGGCATTTATACTATGGTCAGCATGCTTTACTTTGATGGAGCTGATGTGTTCGACTGCGATGTTTTGAAAACGGTTATCTCGTCTCATTTTTTTTATTTGGCTTTCAATTTTTATTATATTAACTATTTCCTCCATGGAATTTAACTAGCTTTTTTATTCTAATTTTTGCTTAAATTAATATATTAGGTTTCAACTAGACGGACATTGAGAGCTCAGATTGCTGCTACTCTGGTATTATCTGATATGAACATTGTTAGAGATGAAGTTCTTGAAAAGCTATCTGAATTCAGATTAATAAGGAGTCAAGTTGCAAAAGATGTTTTTGATGGGATTAAGAAGAAAACAAAGCAAGGTAAAAAGGAAAAGAAAGTATAGGCAGACTAACGAATATGTGGATGAAGTTTTTTGCTCGGAAGTATTTGTATTTTGCACAGAAGTAGGAAATCTAATGTAATGATGTAGTTTGCATCAACAAATGGATAATCTAACAAAATTGTATAAGTGTTAATATAGAACAATATGATATGATTCCAGTTCATACAAAGCTTTTGAATTGGTGGTATTGGTAGTTCTTTTGATATGTAATCTTTAATTGACATTCAAGAAGTTTAGTGAAATATATATTAGTTATAAATTTGGCGCCTATGTTATAAAAAAATGGTACCTATGTTATTTAAAAAGGTTTCTATATGATAAGGTCACTATGTATTTAAAAAGGTATCTATGTTATTTAAAAGGTTTCTATATTATAAGGTCACTATGTATTTAAAATGTTATTAGTTCAATGTGTTATATATAATTAAGTTATAATGCAAAATTATCACCATATTCATTATTATATTTTGTATACATATGTGACAAGTTTTCAAAGGACCTATGATAAATATGTACCTAAAAATGTCTAACTTTTTTTTATCTCTTAAAAAAGAAAAAAAAAACTTGAAAAAGGATATTATATTACTTTTTATAGTCATTATGTAAGTAAAATGGCATTATATGAGGTAAAAATTTCCAATTACTATGCGATGCAAAAGGATCACTATGAGATGCAAGAGCGTTACTATGTGATAAAAAAGATTTCTATAATAATCTGTCTCTATTTAAATAAAAGGTCACTATGTAAGGTAAAAGTGTCGTATTTATATTAATCTATTCTTAAGCTATTCATTTAGTATATCAATTAAAAGAACGAGCCCCTCCTTCCCTAACTTTGTATTGGCTTAATCGATGTGGATTAGAAGAATTGTTAAAATGTGAGTATTTTTTATACGGTTGTTATATCATAATAAAGGTCATTATATCACTAAAAAGGTTATCACGGAATAAGGTGTCAATACGATGAAAAAAAGTCACTATAACGTTAAAAACACATACTATAATATAAATTGAAGTTATCATATGCCAATATGTCACTACATCAAAATAACAATATAAAGGTCAATAAAAAGTTTAACAATAAAAGGTCACCTTATCAATAAAATTTTAACAATAAAAGGTCCCTGTTTAATATATGTGAAACAATAACAATCACTATATCAATAAAAAGGGCACTATAGCACTATGTTCTTTCTTTCCTCTCATCTCCTCTATTTCAGCACTAGGCTGTCAGTAGCCGATGTTGCTTCTTGTAAATATGAAGTGGTTTTGCAGCCTTTCTACTCTTCTTTGAAATCCTGAAATCATGTACACGAACATATATAAAGTGAAAATCTAGTGGGAAGTAAACATAGTACAAAATTTATTTATTTTTTTCTACAAAAATACCTCATTCAAGTTGGATTTTTTTTGCGGACAATTCCGACTATCATGGTTTGTTCTCTGACCACAAGTTCTACAAAGTCTATCTTTCCTTTGGCTTTCCTCAATAGCTATCTCTTTGTCAGATTTTTTCCTTTTTCCACTACCACTACCTTTGTTGGAAGACTTGTTTGGAGGAAGAATATCAACAACTATGTCATTAGATCCAACAAATAATTCGATGTGTTTATTTTTTGCCTCACGTTTATCAACTGGACTTATAGAATCCAAGTCTTTCATCTCATTTTCAAAAGATATTAGCTTAGACAACAATGACTCTAGGCATTCAACTTTCTCCTCACAAAGACTTACACATGAAAAAAACCTGCACCATAAATCACCAACTAGCTTTTGCTTCTTATCCTTCTCTGCCCCATCAAGCAAGTTGTTTAAGCCAAAAATTGGTTTCTTCATAGCTTCTTTAGTCCAACGATGTAAAACATATTGCCTTGGAATCTCAAATAAGAACTTTCCTTTCATGACAAAGAGAATGTGACGACATAATATTCCAACAGATTCAAACATTTTACAAGAGCATGAAGCATCATTAGAACACAAAACATATGTGACATGATAGCTTTTTTTCCTTGTGTTGTCAACAATTCTATATTGCTCAATCCCTTCTTCTTCTTTGATGGTAACATTACTTATACCACAATTGTACAAAGCATGCTTGAATTCCTTTTGGAATATGTAAAATACATTATGAGTGTAAGCAAATGCAGCATGCTTTTCCAAGTACAGGGGGGTGACAAGTTGGGGATGTGTAGTTTTTGAAGTAGCATTCAACTTGTCTTGTGTGTGCCTTTGAGCATCGATTGCAGATTCATAGCGAAACCACAACTCAACCAATAACAAATGCTGATTGGTGAAATTAGTGAAAAAGCTATTTTCACTCTCTGATCTTTGAGTTGACCTTAAAATCCCACCCATAAAAAGGTCACGAAAGTAGGAAGGAATCCACATATTCCTTATATTATACATATTTTTGAACCAATCTTCATTCACTAAATCAAATTCAGACATCACAGACTGCCAACCAATTTCAAATTCTTCTGGTTCAAGGTCTCTATTCCACACAACAGAGTTTAGTTTATGAAGAAAATCAGTTTCTAAGCATAATTTGGGCCCTACCTTTTGTGGCACTTTTTTCATAATGTGCCACATACAAAACCTATGTTTTGCCTTATCAAGAACTTTTTCAATTGCCACTTTCATCGCAGGGTCTTGATCTGTCATGATACAGGTAGGCTGACAGTTATTCATTGCCTTTAAGAAAGTTTCAAATAACCATTCAAAGGATTCAATATCCTCCTTTGCAAGTAAGCCTATCCCAAAAGTCACACACTTACCATGGTGATCAACACCCGTAAATGGGGCAAAAACCATAGAGTATTTGTTGGTGTCAAATGTTGTATCAAATGTAATCATATCACAGAACAACGAATAATTTTTTCTACTAATTGCATCTGCCCAAAATACTCTTGTCAAGCGTTGATGTTCATCCATACAATGCTCAAAGAAAAAGGCACCTTCACTGTTTTCAGCTTTTTCTTTCAAATTGTTTATAAACATCGAAGCATCTTTCTCTTGTATGTAAGCTTTCAAGTCTCGATTAAAGTTCTTGAAATCATTCAATGTTGCACCTATATTATCATAGCTACCAAGATGTTCTTTCATCAACTTATAAGACTTGTTTGGACCAATGTTCAATCTAGAGTTGTCAAAAATGAATTTTTTCTGGCCAAGTTTAAGGTTTCCAACATTTGCCAAAAAATTCATTGTGTTGGGAGAAGCAAGATTGTGGCTATGAGATTCATGAAAGACATAAACCATCCATTTTCCATCTGAACGTTCTCTAAACCCAATCATTGCATTACATCCAAAACGATTTATGGTTCTTTTTCTAGCTTTAGGATTTTTATCTTTGTTAGAAACTTTTGCTTTAGTTTCACCATCCTTCGTAAACCCTTGTTTATTACAATGTAAATATTTCAAGTAGACTTTATCACTATCTTTAATTCTCTTTTCAGTACCTAGTCTTACCACAAACCCACCAAATCTAGCATATTGCTTATAAAAATCAACACCTTTAAGTAAGGAATCAAAAAGCATACCAAGTGTAGGCTTTAGTTTAGGGGGACAACACGGTATAAACTCTTTTGTTCCTCTGGGAGTGTAACACACACTTGGGCCCTTTAGTGACGGTAAGTTTTCAGCAACATTGGTAGTTGTAGATGTATTTGAGCAACTACCTTCTTCTGACTCCTCTTGCATTGTCTGCATATAATATCAAATATATGGTTTAAAATGGGTACTATAATAAAATAATCCATTCCATGGTGCAACTAACTGGACACCAACAAAAACAGTCTAAAATATATGGTTATGGTATCATAAAAAAGAGTTACTATATGGTATTAAGCAAGGTGTTAGTCATTTAAGCAAATACACAAACACCTTATGTGCAACAATTTCTCCTAGTGTTTAATATCATATATCCAGGAAAAAAAAACTTTAATATAAAAAAAATATATATATATTGCAAATATTTATACAAAAACGAAAAAAGAGCATATTGTTGATGAGGATTGAAACTACAAGTTGATGAGATTGAAACTAAAAAACAGAGCACTATTATAAAAACAGTCTACAATAATCACATACAAGGAAATAACCTACCATGCGCAATCAAATAGAAATTCAAGAAATTCAGCTTATATACAAGGAAATAATCACAGTTATATCGGTATTGTAAGCCGCAATCAACTAGAAATTCAGCTAAAAACAGAAATTAAAGAATGAAGAACACTTACTAAGATTATTGAGGAAGCCCCAAGTTATTGAAGAATCACGAGCCCTCAATTTTGGGAGTAAATAATCAAAGTAGCCCTAAAATTTGACGAATTGAGGAATTGACGATTTGATAATGAGATGAAAAGAGGATTTGCTGAGATTTGCTGAGATTTTGCGTTTTTCAGCAAAATTAACAGAGGATTTGCTGAGATTTGCTAAGATTTTGTGTACCTTGTATTTCAACCGTTAGATTATATCATTAATAATCAATGGCTGAGATTTGCTGTTTTTAGTTTTCACCATAAGCCCTGTTTTTAGCGGAACCCTCCCGTATATATATATATATATATATATATATATATATATATATATATATATATATTATATATATATATATATATATATATATATATATATATATATATATATATATATATATATACATGAGTTTATTAGATATTAAAGTTTGAAACTTTAATTTATTTTTATTCAAAAAAAGTGACACATATTGTGTTTATCTGTTGTTCCGTCCCCAACATGGAGGAGGTGAGCTGGAAGAGGATGTGATTGATGGTGTTCATGGAATCCCAGAAATCATGGTCGTGTCTCCAAACTTTCCATGGTTTAAAGGAAAAGTGGGTGATGTGTGTCCAGAGGCGGCGCCAACGGTGGGTTATAAGACGGAGGTGGCAGCGGCGGAATTGATTGGAAGAAGAGATAGTATGGTGATTAGAAGAGAATCAGGCAACGAGCTTGATCTGTCATTGATAATGTCGCTGTTCATCTTGATTTTGGTGCACCGAGTTAGTGCTTCAATCTAATTCTTTTATTCAAATCAAATGAACAGAATACAAGGATAAAAAATAATGTTAATTTTTTCAAAGAAAAGATAAAAATGGTTTTAGTGTTTTTTTTTTTCGATTAAACTATTTAACTTACAAAAAAATCCATATAAATCTTTAAGTGATTTTTTTTTAAGTTAAATCTTTTAGCAATTAAAATAATAATTCTTTTCCATCAAATAAATTTGAGATAGTA